AATAGAAACATTATAATAAAAGTGTCAGCACAAGAATGATATTGACGTTGATAGCTGCTATGATGGTTTTAGACAAATTCTTATAGATTATTGCAAATTATGAGAGAGAAAATTGATGAAGATGTGGATATAACTGTTATAGTCAGTGTCCCTATCATCCACTGACACACTACACTCCTAATCACATCGATTCTGTTTTATAGAATGTGCGTCTAAAAACTGTGCCTGATCGAGAAATAATTTACGAAGGTTTTCTTTCGAAGACAAATGCCACAAATGATCACTATTGCCCGAATTTTATCGGAAGACGTTACTCATTGTAATTGATTTTTCGAATTTCTAGCGTTATTACTAAACAATCCAATGAAAAGTCTACTACCAGTGGAATAGGATTTTGGTTCTTTTTTCAAAAAGTTGTGACCATTGACCAAAAGGTAGTGATGTTGATGGTTGTATATGTGTCGTCATTACATTAATGTTGGAAAATTATTGTTGGAAACATTTTGCAGAAAGAAACCTTTTTCAGAGAGTTATTTGGTCGTAATACTTTTCGCCGAAAAAAATTTGCAAAAACTGTATTTCATTGGAAGTAGTTTTATAGAAAAAATGTCGTCGAAAATTGGTAAAACGATAATGCCAACCCTCTGCAACCCTCTGCATTGTTGTAGATGCGGATTTTCTCTTGAGGTATTCCAACACCCTACTCGGCACACCCAAATTCAAATGGCTTTGCCATTTGTAAGACAAAATCGGAATACTAAACACACACCCATTGTTAGCAGTCAAAACTGACACTTCATGCTTGATTCAGCTCGCATTTTCCATAGACAATATCAAATGACCGAATGTTTGACTGTTGACTAGACCTTCCATTTGAGATATTTCTAGTCAGTGTAGAGTGACTTAGTGGTGAATTTTTTTTTCTTCATTTGATCAATGACATCCACCATTGTCGCATCTTGATAGTCTTCACGATAATAGTAAAAGTTTGACTGAATGCACAGAATAGTTGAATATTCTATCTGAATTTGAATTATTTGTAGGACATTTTCCTTTATAACACTTCAATGACGCAGATAACTCTTGACATAATTTAGGTTAAACTAAATACCAATTTGTACACTATTTATTTGTGTTTTATTCAATATTGATGCTTCTGTATTAATTCAAGAAATTCATTTGTCAAATAAAGTTTACATCAAAAATATCTTCTTTGTATTTCTTCTTTCTTTCTTACATTTACATATTATCATTTAGGTCAATGTTTATGCCTACACATATATATTGATTTATAAAATAAAATATTTTCCATCATCAAATAAATATGCAGTGCATCTTTTAAATATTGATTCTAACTATGCGGATCGATTTTATTATTGTTCATGTAATCTGTAAGCGACATAATGAAATATTTAATTCAATTGATAATTTACTAATATGATTCGATCTAGATGGAGAAACTTGTCTTCCATCAATCGATGAAATATTTATTCTCAATAGAAAAGATGTTCTGTAATAAACAGATGAATATGTTTTGTTTTCTCGAAAAAAATAATCGCACATCATTGCCATTCTAAATTAAATGATTTTTAAAGTCCATTGCGCAGACAAAAATTTTTCAAAAAAAAAGTGAAAGGGATTTTAGTCTACAATTTTATCCACGAATAGATCTTGTGCTCCTTATAATATCCAGAACGTATTGGATAGGTGGAGGTGTGTCATGTTGTTCTCCTCATATCTTTTAGCCACACCGACACCAAAACCTGCACCACATACACCCACCCACACTTTATATAATCGAAAGACTAGTAAATACAATGAGAATACGTCAACAAATTCATCTAGTTGTATGGAAAAATTTCACTTTCCGACGAAGCCGTTGGTTTTGCTGGATATTTAAGATTAAAAAGAAATTATTATTTTAGTTTTTTAACTTAGCTTCGTGTAATCTTAGAATTAATTTGGCCACTCTTTTTATTTCTTATTCTTATGTGGGTGCGAACACAAAATTTAGTCTTTTATAATGATACTTGTCACTATATCTTCATCCAGAAAAAAAAACACAATAAGTATTCATTTAAGTTATAATGATCTACAATATCTTGGATCAACTGATTTTTTACCTGCATGGCAAACATATATCTGTTGATAGAATAATACATGTTATAATTATACAAACTCAACAGATCAGTTTAAAACATTAACTAATGATATACCATTTGTATTTGTTTATATTGTCTTTGTTTATTTATTTATTCGTTTTTTTTTCTTATTTTCTTGGAACCTTATTGAATCTGTTTTCAGATTTTACTCATAATCTTTTAATGACATTAAAAAAATGATCAAATAATGAAAAACATAACTGAACTTCTATCTGAAATAAATACCATTACTAGTTATATAAATATTTGGAATGGTAAAAGTAGTTCATAAGAAAATGAACATTCTTATTAAGTTTTTTTCCTTGTTTAGAAAGGAACTATTTTAGCAAATAAAATAATAAACAATTTTAATCAATCAATATCAATAATAATACTGAATATACTTTTTACAAATCCAATTAATTTATCTAATCTTCATCAGTCATGGTTGATTAATACAACGAATTCATTATCAAATATAAATGTTGCTGCTGAAATAGTTTTTATACCTTCACAAACAGATTATTCTTCTGTCAGTTTAGAAAAGAAAAATCAAATATTGTTCTTTTTGTTTTTGAAGAATGAATTTATATTTTGTTTAGTCTTATCAATCAGAAATAAATATTAAACAATCATTTTGTATTAATGAACAATTTAATCAAGCGTTTTTAATTAATCGATTACAATCAATTGAAGCAAAAGATTATTTATATAATAATTTAATCAACAATTGATTTAAAAATCTTTTTAATTAACATACAAGAATAACTTGATGAAAGATTTTTTGATAGAACAATTTTGAAGAAAATTTTTTTATTCAATTACACTTTTTTAATTAGGCTAGCATGGAACCGAATATAATGAATACTGATCTCACTGGCTCACAGATAAGGATTTTAATCAGTTTTAGATATGTTGATATGTTGATTATGTTAAGATTATGGAAATTGCTCAAAATATTCGTTCTCAGTTCGAAATCCTCAATAGTGACTTTTCATTTGGAGGAATTAACGATAGTCTTAGGTAAGATTGCAAGTATTATAATGAAAAAAAATCTAGTTTTATTATTATGATTGAATCAAATATCTAAAGGAAATGATAGTAGTTGATTAAGAGCTTTAACTACAATAGAGAGCCAGGCTGTTGTTTTTGTTTTATTTGAAAGTGATCCAGATCAAAAAATAAAATAGTTTTAAATTTTGCACAACTCTACAAAAATATCCTTATAGTAAAGATTGTCTTTCCAGCTAATATTTCCTAAAAGGAAAAACTTGAAAATTTCAATAATCAATAGTTTTTATGTTATATTAGTATTTTCAAATAGGTCAACTTTTAAATGAAACTAACAAAAAGAATCTTATTTAAACGATTCAAGTCAGGAAAAACAGTATTCATCATAAAAGTTATATTTATCTGACTAGTATGATTAACTTAAAAAAATTTTAAATTACAAACAATCATGAGTTATGCCACACAAAAGGAGATAGCATTGTGTCATTAATCAATAAACATATGGTAACAGTTGACATAAGAATTTAGTTGAGTTTGAAATGTGCGAATTAGTTTTACAAAATTCTCTTGGAAAAAAACTCATCATAGGAATAAAGATTTATAAATAAGATGAACTAATTGATTAGGACAACAGTTCACAACATAAAGTTATATGAAGGCCCTTTCCTCCTCAGAAAGAAAACTCGATTTTCTTGTAGAATTATATCTGCAAAATAAACAAATATTTTTCATAGGTAATCAAATCTTGCGCATTTTAGAAATGTATTGTTTTTATATTTACAATTACATAAGAGTATGAATGGAGATCTTTTATTCACCCACAAACATCCACACTCACACCTTAAACACATCCACACTCCCAAGTAGATGCTTTATATAAAATAAAATAGTATATTTCTTATGAGTCACTAGTAAAAACTAACCATTATTATCAGCTTTTAAAAAATTGTACGGCAACAAGAGAATTTAAAAAATGAATTTATTATTCTTCTTTCTTTATTATGTTGTTGAATGATATAACAAAATATACAGGCAATGGTAGATAGCATTATCTATTGTCATGTATGTTGTACGAGAACAATCTAATATACATAGACAAATCTTTCGATTGACATGTTATATATTTATGCTTCATCTTCATTTTAAGTAATAATAGGAAGACTGTATAGAAAAAAACTTCTTTTGTATTTTTCTCAAACTTGACTTTTTCTCAATATATTTCATTCTGGAAAGCTGCATTTTTTTCCATCGACAGATATATGCATAATCTTTTAGAAAAGACAAAGGAATTTTCTAATTAATCTTCAATGCTAGACAAAATCCTGAGTTTTCTAGAAAATCATGCCTAGGAATTTCTCCAGATTTTTGAATTTTCGGCGATCGAAAAACATGAAGTAGAGTAAAAATTAAAAAGAGCGTTTTCCTTATCTGAAGTAATAAGAAGTTCTCTTTCAAATGAAAACAACTCGAGGTCTGTAATTTGAAATATATTAATAAAAAAATCTGTACGCGTAAAAGTCATGTTTTGTCGCTTGATCTTGAAAAATCTCCTGAATGGTAAGGTATGGATGCATGAAATATTTTTCAACCATGTACTCTCATGAGACAAATATCTATGGAAAGTTCCATTAATATCTTATATACTCTGTCAAAGTTAGATTTTTGAGGGGATTCTTAAACACTACAAATAAAAAGTTTTAAAATTTTCTCTGAGTTTTTCTTTTCTTTTATTTATCTTATCAAAAAAGTCGAATACGAAATTTACCAAAAATCATTATGCATAATATATCATCAACTGTACTATTTATACTATAAATTTAACTTTCGATTACATTAATGCTTAAGACCAAATATTATGCTCTAATATCATAATTATAAGACACATATATCATACAATTCAACCTTTTTTTTAAAAAATAGTCCATATCAACCTCGTGATCATCTGAATAAATACATTAGAAGAAAAATAATATTTTTTTCAAAAACTTTCATCAATTATACAATCTCTTCGATAGAGCCTGTCGAGTCCGGGTCCGAAAAATTTGGACCTGATGAGCTCTACTTCCAAAACGAAAAAAAAGATATATCAAAAATATGCACTCTATAAAGAAACAATTTATTTACTTTTTATGAACTATAAAAATTTTCAGTTCATAAGATTAAACTTCTGCTAGCAAAACGAAGGTGTGGGTTTGGGTTGCATATATGTGAAATGAATATCCACACCTACACCCACACCCTAATATTTCGAAAAATTTAAGTAGAATGCTTGGCCTATGTCAAAATGGTGGATCATGTAATGATAATGAGACTAATATTAACGACCATGTTTGTACATGTCTACCTGGTTTCAATGGTACTCATTGTGAATACGATCATCGAATTTGTAGACCACATACTTGTCTCGATCATGGTATTTACACATCTTCTCATTTACCTATCAATAAAGTGCTACAATATATTTTGTTTTAGGTAACTGTAGTGAGAGATCAGTTTCAACATTTCAATGGATATGTGACAAAGGTTAGCAAGGTGATTACTGCGAATCAATGATAAACTGTTGTTATAATGTTACACGTTGGAATTATGGTGTTTGCCGACCATTATTATTAAATTATATATGCGAATGTCTTGGTGATAGTTATTCTGGTCGTCATTGTGAAATCACTTCTACGAAAATTTTTATTTATAAAATTGTTTCAAAATCATTTGCTTATATTGCCATTATTGCTGTGTCAAGTGTTGCTATGTTTATTGTCACCATGGATATATTGAAATATTATTTTGGTATTGATCCAATACGTGAAGAACTAGAAAGAATTCGACGAGAAAAACGAGCAAAAAACCTCAAGTGATGCAACTATTGGTCTATATTGATGCGCCAAGATAATCATTTGAATAAGAGACATCATTAATTCAAGAGAAAACGATTAAAGACAAATATGAATTGAATTGCTTTGCTTCTTCCTTGCTATGAAATTAAAAAAATGACTAAATTTGCTGTTGTTTTAGTCTGATACAAAAGTCGAACGAACAAG